CACCCACGGGCACCAGCCATCCCCAGCAGCTCCCTGCTCTGCTCCAGCTGCTGTCCTCTCTGCAGCTCTTTCAGGCTCCTGATTCTCTTTCAGGGAGCTTTCTTCCCTTGCAGGACACAGCCGATCCCTGCAAGACTCCTGACTTACCCAAATGCTCCCCAGGCAGGAGTCCCACCCCAGTTCCCAAATGGAAAATGGGCTCTGCTCAGAGACATCCCCGCTTGTCCTTGGCCAAAGTGAGACCTCCCCATCCCACCTCATTTTTGGGGAGGACCTGATGAGTAGGTGGTTTCAGCATCTGCAGAAGTGATGAGAATGTGCTGTGAGAACATGTAAAATGCAGGATCCTGGACTTCCAGCCATGTCCTCAGCGAGGGCTGAGCTCAGCAGGTCCCTGCAGACATTGCCTTTGCCCCCGGTTTTTGCCAAGTTCCCTTCTCCAGCAGCTTTGAGCATTCGGGTACTCCCAAACCAGTGGGTTCCCACCCTTGTGAGACTCTTCGTTTCTGCACAGTTCCTCTCACTTGTTCATTTTATTTCCCCTTTTTCTGAATGCATTGGCACCCAGCGGCAGGGAGGATGGGGTGAATTACACAGCAAAGACTTTTCATCAAGCTGTGGATAACCCAGCAAGGAACTGCACATGCCTTCACTGGTTGCCACTGGGCAGTGCTTCTGGCGTGCTGTCAGGACTGGGGAAATACTTGCAAACCTCAAGACTTCTGCTCAGCCTGGAAAGAAGAGAGGCAGCTTTAACTCCAGACCACGAGGAGCAGTTTGTCCTGACTGTACAATAACAGGAGGTTAATTTTCAGTGTCAGTTTTTGGCCCGGGCAAGCTGGGCTGCCTTTTTTGCCGTGGTCTCCTCCTGAAGCAAAGCCATTGCGTGCTGCAACACAAAGACGGCGCTTTGGGCACCTGGTATTTTTAGGAACTTTTTAAAGCACCATCCACACTGGGACTGTCTGGCAGCTCTCCGGGTGCAGAGAAATGCCAACAGGGTGACCACCCTTGGAGGTTTGTCCTACAAGACCTGCTTGTTTGTGTCCTGATGGTTTGGACACAAAGATGGTACTGTTGCTGGGGAAGGAAAGGAAATCTCAGCATGACATAGGCTGGACCTGATCAGAAGTTGGGTTGGTTTTTTTTTTACAGCAGCAAAGTTGACCTGAAGGTTCAGGAATATTCCAATACAGTTTGGGATAGCGGAACATCTCCAAAGCAAGGAGACACATGTCCCCAGAGGATGGCAAAACTCAGGGTGATCTTGGTAGAGAGCAGCCGAAGATCATTGATCAGTTGAGAACTATTCAGAGCTGGCTGCGAAGGGGAGGGCTGGGGTTGGCTTTGGTGGAGATATCTGAGGCAGACAAAACACTCAGCATGGGTTTAGGGATAATGAGATCCATCCGGCGTGTTACACTGCGAGGGGCTCAAAGTGCCTCTTAGAGGTCCCTTAGCACATCTCTTGGGTCGTCAGTCTGCTTTCTGTTGTTCATTACGCCGCCTTTGAAGTCTCAAAATCCCTATTATTTCATGGTCGATTTGCTGCTTTTTTCCAAGGCCAATATTGTCTTCAGCAAAGCTCCATTTCTGTAGGGTTTAGTTTGGTGCTTGAAGCCCTGCCACCATCCTCCAGCGTGGCACAACCAGAGAGTGGTGATGAGGGTCGTGAAGATCCTCCCTGGGCATCTTTCACGTCCGGGGGCATTTCTCCAAGGACCTCCTGCAGCCCTGACCTTCTGCTCCAGTCCCCCCCAGTGTAACCCCAGTTGGGGTACTGGTGGTCCTGAAGCCAGCCTTGTCATCGCAGCCTTTCAGCAGCAGTTGAAGGCAGGGGAATGTGGGTGTTTTTATTGCCTTTGAACGCTGGGGAAAACCGAGGAGCAGAGAGCTGATGTGACTCGTTCCAAGTTATGCAGTAAATAAGGGGCACAGCTGGGAAAAATCCAGCGTCTTCAGAATCCCTGTTCTCCACACCAGATCGGTCTGCCTCCCAAATGTTTACTAAAGAGACTGGAGTCTGATTGTTTTTACTTTATTTTTAATTTTTACATGCTTCCTTCTCCAGGCTGTTTTGCCTGTTCCGCAGTGGCCAGTGTTTAAACAGCGCTAGCAGGAAATGTTTCTGAAATGTGCTTTAAAAAACACAGTTCTGCTAAGATGTGCTCTTTATTCCCGGTTTAGACGGAGGCTTAGGATTCACAAAGAATGAATCTCTTGTCAGCAGGAGTAAGTTAGGCGGCTGTTTGTTTTGAAGCTGTCCTTGTCATTGCTGAAGGCAGGACCGATCTGTGGCTGGGCTTTGGGGGGTCACTTGTGGTCCCCACAGTAAAAACAAGATTTACAGTCAATTATAGTCTGTACTCTTGTTGCTCCTCTTAAAGCCAAGAGCTTGAGCTGGACTCCTTTTCTCTGCAAAGCTTTGCTTTGACACTCAATATAGCTCCAGTGGAAATTATGGAGCTGATGCAGAAATTATTGGGTGAGGTTTTTCTGGACTGAATTACACCAGATGACAGGGCTAGATGATGCTAAGTGTCCCTTTGGGTCTTGAAAGCTATGAATCTTGGTGGATATCTCCAAGCTTAAATTGGTATATGGGGTTTTGTGGAAGTGTTGTTTAATCTTATGCATCACGAGCCACGGCTGGGCTGGGACGACGGTTCCACTGGAGGATGCTCCACGCGTCCAACGCAGGTTGGGAAGGACAGCAGCGCTGGTGCGAGGGCTTGCTCCAGCTGCTGCCTCAGTCCAGGACATGCAGATGGGGAAAACACTATCCCAAAAGAGAAATGCTGTCTTGGAAAGGTCAGAAACAACATCCTGGTGTCTGGCTGCAGAGAGCAGCGCAGGCAGGCTGGGAGGGGAAGGCAGCGACCGGGCTGGAGGTTCAGACCCGCGTTGCTCTCTGGGCTGGGTCGGAAGCCTGTTCCTGAGGGTGTGAGGGTGTTTATGGGGACAAGGTTTCAGCCAAGGCACGGACAGCCGGTACTTGGGGTGCAGGGCACGCTGCCAGGCATCTGGAGGAGGTTGGTGAGCCGCGGCACCCGCAGCATCGTCCTGCCAGGGAGCTGCCGCGGCCGTGCCCAGTGAAACCGCTGGAGCAACCCGGGGAGGCAGAAGGGGTTGAGTCAGGGCTTGGCCGGCATCCTGGGACCGACACTGCAATCCATCCAGCAGAGTAAAACAGAAAAACAAAGGCGCTGGGATTTTTAATAAGTGTTTAAGATCTTGGATGTGCATCTCGTCAGTCATTTGATCCAGCCACAGGACTCGTATTAGTGGGTGGGAGAGAAATCCTGTCTGAGCATTAGGCACTGGAGGTTTCCACCCCGGCTGGGAAGCGATCCCTGCGTCTGGTAGGAGCCTATTTACAGTCGCTCTCCGCGGGTTGCCAGGCTCCGAGCAGAGCAGTTTGCACCAGATGGTCCCTGCAGCATCCTGGAGACCATCTCCTCCAGATTCCTGGCTAAGATGAAGCTCCCGTGGATCTCCAGCTGGGATTCATGCTGACCACGGTGCAGTCAAATAAGAGCATCAGCCACTGTGACAGACTGTGCCCAGCGTGAGCTCCTTCAGCAGCCCCGAGTGGCAGAAAGCGCCGAGTGCTCCCACCAGTACTACGTACCACTCGTTCAGCATATACGCGTGTTTTTTCAGGATGCCTCATCATAGTCCTTTGCAAAGTCCCTCGTTAATTTTGGGTGCAGTGCCTGGGGTCTGGTGAGCACCATGCAGCAGCCCTGACCCTGCAGATGTTCTCCTGCAGCCAGTGATGGAGCCCGGGCGCTTGCTGTAAAGGCACGACCCAGATCCGGGTCGAGGCTGTAGGAAGATGGTTGGGCTGTGTTGCAATTCGGTGGGTCAGAGTTGCTCACGCATCAGCCTTTGAAGATCTGGAAGAGAAAGGAGCAAACTGCATCAGCCCTTTCCCAGCCACACTCTGCCAGCAAAGTGGCCACCGGTGACATTGGCGGGTGGGGGATAAATCCTGCTCGATGACATGCGACAGGCTGAGCGGGTTAGAGACCAGAGCGGTGCTCCAGCATGTCCCACTGCTGAAATGCAGCTCTGGAGAGCTGGAGGTGAAGCAGCGATTCCAGCAATGGTGCTGCTGGTGCAGCTGGGAGCTGCCCAGTGCACCTCCCGCCCAGCCCCTGCAGTCTCGGCAGGCTGCTGAGTTGGGCGTAAAGAGCTGGAATTTTCCTCCCAGGAGAAGTGACCTTACGCTGAGGTGACTCAGAGCCTGCCGTTGGGATTAGCGGTGAGAGAGGTTTAGCGGCAAGAAGCTTTTGTCCTGCTGTGAGGCTTTCGGTCGGCAAGCGCAGCTGCGCCAAGCGTTGTGCAGCCTCGTGATGCCTTCGGGAGGGTTACGGGAGCTGATGTCTGCACAAAAGGAGCACGCGGCCGTGCTGCGGGACACGCGCTCTCCCACAGGAGCCCACTGCTGGGTTTTTCCCAGGGTTTTTCCAAAGCAATGTTGTCCAACGTGCCCTGAGCTGTAGAAGATGAACTCAGCGTCTTAGGTAGAAGGCTGCAAGGGCACCAAGGCAAGATCAGTGTCTGGCAGAGATGGTGGGGGCTCAACAGGATGGGGCTTGGAGAGGCATAAGTTAAAAAAGAGGAAGAAGAACCCTGGGGTCACAGAATCACAGAATCACAGGGGTCCTCCAAGAAGAGTAGTTGGGGTGTCAACAGCACACGACACCCAGAGTGTTGTGGGTGGCAGAGGTCTGGAGCACAGCAATGGAGGTGAGGAAGGTTGTGGTAGGCAGGTACGGTGCTGCTTCAGCTCCTGTCTCTTCAGAACTCTGTGGCAGGAGTGTCGGGAGAGCCCCAGCCATGGGCCAGGAGAGCAGGGCTTGCCTGTGACCCAGTTTATGGGGACATCCTCTTCCCACCCATCTCCCCTGTGCCCATCATCATCTTCACCTCGCCCATGCCTGGAGCTGTGCGGTCCCTGTTCCCCATGAGGCATGTTTCTCCTCTGTTTGCAGGTTGCCTATGGGACCACAGAAAACAGCCCTGTCACCTTCATGGGATTCCCCAATGACAGCATCACCAGGAAAACCGAGACCGTGGGATGCGTCTTTCCCCACACGGAGGTGACTGTGACCCTCCCCACTTGCTCCAGGTCCCCTGCCTGGTGCTGGAGTCGGGGCACGCCATCGTGTTTGGCTCGAGCGTCCTCTCCTGAGCCCTTCCCCTCTTGAATTGCAGGCAAAAATTGAGGATCCAGAAACAGGGCAGGCTGTGCCTCTGAACACTCCCGGGGAGCTTCAGATCCGCGGCTACTGCGTCATGCTCGGCTACTGGGACGACGCCAGCAAGACGAGCGAAGTGGTCACTGCTGAGAGGTGGTACAAGACAGGGTGAGTCTGGAAACAGCCCTGCTCCTCCTGGGCTGGTCTGTGCGTGGAACTGCAGAACAGCTTTTAGCCAAGTGTCCCTGGGGATGGGGACAGTCACTTGGGGCTGGGGGGGTACCAGCAAGGGCAGGAATCGCCTCCCCCAAGCCCTGATGTTTGTGTGGATGCTGCCAATGGCAATATCTGGCCATAGCAGGAGCTCTGCTCTCTGCCACGCATTCAGGTGGCATCATAGCTGTTACCCTCCGGATACCCTGCCCTGGCTTCCAGACCGGGCTGGGTGGGAGCGTCGGCCGTTCCCACCCAGCGGGGACAGGACTAGGAGCGCGGTGTCATTGCAGGGACCTGGCGACCCTGGATGAACACGGCTACTGCAAAATCATAGGGCGTTGCAAGGACATGATTATTCGGGGAGGAGAGAACATCTACCCAGCAGAACTGGAGCAGTTTCTCCACACCCATCCCAAGGTCGAAGAGGTCCAGGTGAGCTGGGGGGGAGGCGGGGTGGGTCAGCAGCGATGGTTCCTGTGGTGGGAAACCTGTACACAAAGCTACTGGGACTGCTGCTTGGATCCTGGTTGTCTTCCCTTGTTTTCAGCATCTCCTTTCGTGTAATATTGGTTGGTGAGTGGGAGGGAAAGGCTGATGGCCAGGAAGCGGCTGGCATGGGGCACATTGGGTCAGGCAAACCCTTCGTGCACCAGCTTCATGCTTGCAAACCAGCGACTGGCATTCTTCTTCAGTTTTTAAACTGCTGGTCCACTTTCATAGCTCCCTCTGAAATTCATCCTTGGAAAGCAGGCTGGAAGAAGAGTTTTTACTGATAATTACTTACTAAACTGCTAAATCCAAAAAGACTCCTCCAATGAGTCCCTGGAGATGAGGAGTGAGACTCAGTTTCACCCCTTTGCAAGGCAGCAATGATTCGCAGCATCGAGCAGCTGCTCCCAATCTGCTGGGAGTGTTCTCCTCCAGGTTTTGTGCCAGACAAGTTTCCCCATAAATAAACCGGTTATTTAGTCAGTGTTGTGCCTGCGCCAGGCTCGCATCTCTCTTTGGAACAGCCCCAGTGCAGATGGGTTGCAAACCAGCCCTGTTTATGCAGTTTCTAGGGCTTTATGTCACTGCTCTGGACTCAAAAGGATCGACGTGTCTCTAGGATTTTGAGTTACTGGTTCAAGGCAGGGAATAACAGTAGGACTCCTGTTAAAGAGTGTGAGCAAACTTTAGAGAGAGGTCAGGCTTGGGAAGCCCATCTCCTGGTGTCGCAGGCAGTGGTGTGCTAGGATCTGCCATTGTAAAGGTTTCAAATAATCCTTTAACTGGACTTCATCCCTCTGCTGCCATTCCATCTGGAGATCCCAAAGCATGTGCAGCAGCTTCCCAAGTCTCCCTGTTGCTTGTGAAACCTGTTTCCCCATATTTTTGGGGAAGCAGAGGGACAACAGGTCCGCGTCACACGCGATGAGCTGACACCCGGCCGGTCTGACTCAGCCCTCACTCCAGTGACTTTGCAAAACCAAAGGAAGGGGCTGGATCGGGTGCCAGCCTGTTCTGCCACCTTTCCTCTGGCAAGGTTGGGAAGTCCTTCCAGGAGGGCTCCATGTCATGTAGAAAGCCCCATGGGATGGATGGTCGGGCAGCTCAAGCTGCCTTTATGCAGCCCCACGCTGTGATATGGGTCAGCTCGCGCTGTCTTTCCAGTACCCACACCCTGCGGGAGAAGAGGGATGTCCCCAGGGGTCACACCATCCTTCTGTCCCACCTAGGTGGTTGGTGTGAAGGATTTGCGGATGGGAGAAGAGATCTGCGCCTGCATCCGAGTGAGGGCTGGGCAGGACTGCACCGAGGACGAGATTAAAGCTTTCTGCAAAGGGAAGGTGGGTCTCACAGTCCTCCGTTCCCCACCGGACCAGTACACCCAGCAGCTGCTGGGGGTTTGCAGATGAAGGCGCAGGGATTTAGGGCTGGATCCCCAGTTGCTCTGGCTTGGGCAGTACCAGCTGGGCAGGACAAGCTGTTCCCAGCAGGTTGTAGCAGTTGGTTTTCTCTTCCCAGATCTCCCATTTCAAGATCCCGCGGTACGTCGTGTTTGTGGGTCAGTACCCGCTCACCGTCTCCGGCAAGGTAAGAGCGGGGCTGGGGCAGCGCAGGAGCCCTGGCCTCCCATCCCATCTCCTGCCTGAGTCCCTCCTCTCTGTGCTTTGTTACAGATTCAGAAATACAAGCTGAGGGAGCAGATGGAGAAGCAGCTCCAGCTCTGAGCTGGGGAAGGCAGAGTGAACAAGGGGATAGATCAGCCCCGCTTCAGCGAGCGCTGCATCTCCTGCTCACCTGTGCCTTGGGTACACCGTGCCCCGACACCAGGCTGGTGGCACTTTTGGTTAATAAAACAGAGTGCCTTTTTTTCCCAGTTGGGTTTGTTTCTTTGCCAACACAAATATTGCGGTGTGAGGAAGGGATGCTTATTTCTGGAGTTCTCTCCCATTACTGAAAGACCTTATGAAGGTTTTAAAATCTTGCGTCTCAGCAATGTGGCTGCAGCCATCTCGGAGGACTTTGTGGGCCTGGACAGATGCTGGCAGATATTTTACTGATATTTTAAGTCCTGGCCTGACTTCCCAAGGTAGGTGAATGCCACCTCTGCTTGGGTGTTGCTGAGACTCTTGGGTCATGTAACACAGCTGATGAACTTGAAAAGAGGGGCAGGGGCTTCAGAGAGTGAGATGTGGCATGGGAAGGGGCTCCCTAAAGCCAGCTGGAAAAGCCCACCCTCTTCTCACACCTCCCCTGGGCCTTCTGACCCCCAAAGAAACTTCTCCAAGGGAGACTTGGCATTGTTTATTTTGTATTTTTGGAAAAGACAGCCAGGAAGGATTTTGCAGAAATACCAAAGTTCCTGTCCCGTGGGCAGTGTGAAGCAGAGCGCACCCCGGACAGCGTTTTACGGGAGTTCTTTGGCACCTCCCAACCATGAAACACTCCGCGGGGAAGAGCAGAGCTCTTCCTTCCCCGCAGAAGTGTCCCACCCCAGCTGGGAAGCAGATAACATTGCTGCTGACTCTCCCCCCCTCCCGCTTCCTTTCCAGGGCCGGGCCCCCACCTCCACCCTGGGGCTTCCTCTGGTGCAACCGGGAGAGGTGAAGCGTCAGCGAGGTCTCGATCCTGGATCTCCCAGCTCCTCGATCCTGGACCTCCCAGCTGGACTGTGGGCTCTACCCATGGAAGCAGACCCAGTAGACAACACGGCTACTGTTGGTGCCTGCTTTCTGAAAGAAAAAGAGGCAAGGGTTCGTGTCAGACCCTTTCTGGACCGTGTGTCTCCAAGTTCCTCCACCGTTCCCAACCAACTCCTAGGGCTGGTCTCAGCCTGTTTCACCAGCTTCACCTCTGCCCACCCTGGAGTAACTGGGATGTCTGCAAGCAGAACTAGGGTATCCTCCCTGCCCTGGGTTTAGGACCCTTGGAAAAGCCTTCCTTCCCTGAGGAAGAACCGTTACCTGCATTACAGCAACTGCAGCCTGGGCCTCGGGGATGCAGTGGACCTCTAGGTCTTATGCCTAGGGAAGGACTTTGTCCCTTCCTTTGCCTCCCCCAGCACAGACCCTGGTGCAGGACAGCCCCCTGGTCCTGTCCCATCGCTCCACCCTTTGCACAGACCCTGAAGCACCCCACGTACTCACCGTCATGGGGGGTCTCCTGGTAAGAAATGAAGCTGAAGTCAGCTTGGGCTGGCGTGTGCAGACACAGTGCTGAGAAACACAGCGAGCAGCGGTCACAGCCAGCACCTGCCAGCCCCTGGGGTTGCCGGCGCCCCACCCCTGCTCCCGGGAGCTCTGCTCCTGTCCCAGGAGCAGCATCGCACCATCCCTGGGTCTGAGCCCAGCACAGCCCCGGGTGCCCAGCACCTTTCCCTGCCCCAGCACATTTCCCTGCACTCCCCATCCCCTTCCCTGGGGCGTATCCAGCCCTCCCTGGCCAGGACCCCACCCGAGGTGTCCCCTGGCCGTCCCAGCCCCCCGGGGTGGCACAGCCCCGTCTGCAAATACTCACAGGAGGGGACAGGTTGCCCCTCATCCCTGTCAGGGTGGTCTCAGCGGGTGCAGGCAGGATGCAGGCAGGGATGCAGGCAGGGCTCCAGGCTCCTGCCCGTCCCTGTCCCCGGGGACCGCGCTTATAGCGCGTGGTGCCCGCTCGGAAACCCCCGGCAGCGGGGGCTC